CGGGGAGGCGGGGCCGCGTCGGTGGGCACGTGAGGGGTGGGGGACCCGCACCAAGGATCACTGGCCCTGGTCCTCGGTCCCACAAACGCGCGCTTCTGGCCTTTTCTCAAATACTATTTCAGACGTGTGCATGCGTTGCGCGCGTGTGTCCTCTGACTTAGGCGGTGGGGCCGCCCTCCTCCTTGCTGGGGGCCAGGACAGCGTCCCCTCCCACCGCTGCCACTTCCCTGGCCTCTCAGTCCCCCTGGAGCCAGGTTTTTCCTGCCGCGCTGGAGCGTCCCCGCACACCCAGGGCCACTGCCCAGGAGACCTTGCGGGTCCCACCAGCTCTTCCCAGACACCCTGTCTGGGCCCCGCCCCCCCCACAGAGCAAGGGCGGTTTCACGAGAGTGCTGAAGGGACCCCTCCCGCCAGGGACACTCCTACCACTCTCCCCAGCTGCTCCCACTGCCAAGTGCCTCCCCACTCCCACCAGGTCTGGGAGGGACCCTTCTGCCACGCCTCAGCTGGCAGGAGAGAGGGGCCACCTGGCCAGTTTCCCACATCCCTCAAGCCCACCTTCCCGACACCAGGGACGCTGCCCAGGCCGTGCAGGCAGGGGGAACTCCCGTATGGGCATCTCCCGGAGACACTGCCCGCAGTGGACACTGCTGGGCCTTCCTCCTCTGGGCCCCCCAAGTGGCTGCCAGCAGCCACCAGAAGAGGGAAAGTCACCAGGCTGGAGGCCTGGCCGGGACACAGCTGCTGGGGAGCGAATGAGAAACGGTGCTTCTCCCCAAATGCCTCCCATTGTAACGTGTCCAGCACCCAGGACGCCGTGCGGGGGCCGTGTGCCCTCGCCCCAGGCCAGCCCCCCAGAAGACAGGGCCCGGGCCCTCCGAGCCCTCCAGGCCCATGTCCAGGCACTTGGCACGAGTCTGCTTTGCCCTGCGCCATCAAAACTGCTTGATCTCAAAGTCACCTACACCCGCCTGTGCCCCCGGGCCCGCGACAGCTGGCTTCCTTGGCTTGGCCAGCTGGCCCTGTCCCCTGGCTGCCTTGGTGCAAAGAGCCCATAAACCTGTGCTGTTCGGGTCTGTGTCTGGGTGACCCAGACCCATGGGGCCAGGACACAGGGTGATGTGCAGGGAAGACAGAAACCCCCTGGTGACCCGTCACAGAGGTCATGCTGGGGCTGTGGGACCGGGGGTGGTTCCCCCAAGTCCTCTTTCCCGGTGTTATGTCAGGCACACCCGCCACCCCGACTTGAAGGAGCCCCACGCCCACGGCAGAAGCACTTCCTCCTACTGACCCCTGCTCGCGTGGCCGTTCTGTCGCTCCAGACGAAGACGGGGTGGGGGTTCACGCACATGCACCCACGCACACCTACGCGCACCCATGGTGCACCCACACACAACCACACACACCCACGCACACCTACACGCAACCCACGACACACCCATGGCACACCCATGCACATCCACATGCACACATGGCATGCCCATGGAGCACCCATGTACACCTACACGCACCCACGGCACACCCACACAACCCACAGCGCACCCACACACACCCACGACACCCACACACCACACACACCCACGCACACCTACACGCAACCCATGACACACCCATGGCACACCCATGCACATCCACATGCACCCATGGCATGCCCATGGAGCACCTACGCGCACCCACGGCACACCCACGCAACCCACGGTGCACCCATACACACCTTCCCCCAAGTCCTCTTTCCCGGTGTTATGTCAGGCACACCCGCCACCCCGACTTGAAGGAGCCCCACGCCCACGGCAGAAGCACTTCCTCCTACTGACCCTGCTCGCGTGGCCGTTCTGTCGCTGCAGACCAAGACGGGGTGGGGGTTCACACACACGTACCCACGCACACCTACGCGCACCCATGGTGCACCCACACACAACCACACACACCCACGCACACCTACACGCAACCCACGACACACCCATGGCACACTCATGCACATCCACATGCACCCATGGCATGCCCATGGAGCACCCACCCACACCTACGTGCACCCACGGCACACCCACGCACACCCATGGCACGCAGAGCCGGAGTGCTTTCTTTTTAGCCCCTGGACGCTGCTGATGGATTCTGCTGATGCAGGCTCGGTGCGGGCCCTGGGTCACCCCCTGTGTGTGGGACATCGCCTGTGTGTGGGACACTGCCTGTGTGCGGTGGGGGCTCTGTTTCCGCCACAGGTGCGGCAGCCTCACTTCCAAGCTGGGAGCGCGCCGACAGACGTGAGCGTGGGGGGCTCAGGCACACACTCTCTCGACGTCTCCACCAGCCAGCCAGGCTGCCCTCAGCCGCAGCGGGACCTCGTGCCCCAGCCCTGTCCCCCAAAGTCCATAAGTCGCAGCCCTGACTCCAGCACCTCAGAAGGTGACTGTTGGGAAACGGGTCTTTAAAGGGCTGATTGAGGTAAAATGAGGTCACTGGGCTGGACCCTGGCCCAACACGACGGGGGCCTTCTCAGGAGAGACGAGGACACAGACGTGGAGGATGACCGTGAGGACATCGGGGAGAGGGATGGCAGTGCCCACTTGCTGAGGAGGGGGGCCTCCGGGGCTGGAGAGAGCCACGTCTGTCATTTAAGCCCCGACTGCGGGACGTTGACAGCAGCCCTCGCCTACTGACTCGGGACCCCTGCCGCCCGCAGGTGTGACTCCATTCCTCCCAGTACCTGGTGGCTGGGAGCCCATGGTGGTCCACGGGGACTTTGGAGGTGGCGTCTGCCCCCTAGCAGTGGTGCTCATGGCGGTGGCAGGCCTGGTGGCAGGTGGACTCGTTGCTCTGCTGGTGGCCCAGAGGGCGGGCCTGCTGGCCGAGACCCCCGGGATTGTGAGGCCAGCTGTCGTGCTGGTGGCATGGCTGGTGGTGGCAGGTGTCCTCGTGGTGGACGGGACAGGTGTGGGGAGGGGGTGGGAGGACATGGTGTCCAGGATCCAGCCCTTCAGCCTGGCGATTCGAACGTACACGCCGGGTCTCTTGGCCTGAGCACAGCCGATCCCCCAGCTGACGATCCCCGCCAGGTAAAACACACCAGGGGTCTCCTCGCAGGCCAGCGGTCCCCCGGAATCGCCCTCAAATAGAAAGAAAGAGGGCTGGCGGTGACCACCTGGCACCCTCCCTCCCGAGTCCCCACATGGGTGCAGCAGGAGGACACAGCACGGCCACAGGGACCAACCCCCGCAGCCCGGCGTCCACCTCCCCAGGAGCGAATGCCCGCTCCCCCATTGGACAGCTGGTCCCACGTGTGCTGACCCGTGGGCAGCTTTTTCTCAGTTAACGTTTACTGTGCATCGTTTCAAATCAGCACGCGTGGCTCTGCGTGGGTGCACCGCACTCGTAAACTGCTCCCTCATGCTCTGCGTGTACAAACTACAGTCTCTGAGTCACGCGTTTCGAGACACTGCGTTCGTCTCCGAATTTCCCCTGCTCTGCGGACTCCGCTGTACCGCAAGTCCCTGCCTGCCCTCCCCGCGGACGGGGGAAGGGTGCGGGCACTGGGTCTGCAGGCCGCCCCGTCTCCTGGGTCCCCTGCGTGCTACCTGGCAGGAGTCCACCTGGCCCTCCAAGAAGCCGGCGCAGAGCATCCGGTCCGTGAGGGAGAAGTTGTAGAGGGCGCTGCATGCCTTCTGGTCTATGATGCCCACAGACGCCCGCTGGAGAGCGTCTGGCTTCGTCGCTGCGGGGACAGGGGACCCAGCCGTGGCAACAACCCGAGAGGAAGGTGCCACCAACCCCACTCTGCAGACGGGACGCTGAGGCTCCCGGCGGTGCAGGGAAACTGGGTCCCATCGTGAGAAGGCCGGGCACCCAGCGTCCCAGCTCCGAGCCCTAAGATCTCGCCACTGTCCCCAAGCGGAGTCCCTAGCGCCTCGGGCGACCTGCAGGGAGGCCACTCTGAGGTCTCAGAGGAAGCATCAGCTCCTGGGGGCTCTGCAGGGTACAGCACGAGGGCCTCTAAACTTTTTCTAGAAAGGGCCACAGAGTGAGTGTTTTCGGCCTTGTGGGCAGGAAAGCAGTCAGGGCCATCTGTAAGCGAAGGAGCACGGCCGTGTGCCGGTAAAACTTCATGGAACGCAGTTGCCTCGGGCCGTGGGCCGGAGTTGGGAGCCCGGAGGACTGCGGGGCGAGTGGTCTGCGGGGGAGCAGAGGCCCCGCCGAGGACTCACCGTTTCCCTCCTGCGTGCTGCCCCACCCGGAGATCATGCACTTGCGGCCCGCGGGGAACTTCTGGGTGGCCAAGGGCAGGCAGATGGGCTGGACATACTTGCCGAAGACCAGGGGCCGGGCCAGCTCCAGGACAGCCGCGTCGAAGTCCAGGATGCCGGCATTGTACTGGGGGTGCAGCACTGCCCGCTTGAGCCCCATTTTCACCGGGCTCCCGCCAACGCCCGAGAGGGACACGGTGCCCAGGTGGGCCCGCACCAGCTCCACCTTCGTGCTGCCGACAAGGGGCAGCTCAGACACCCCTTCTGCCCCTGCAGGGCCCACATTCTGGGGGGACACACGGCTGCTCCCCCAGAGCAACCCCAGGCTGGGACACCAGGGCCAGTCAGGGAGTCGGCCCGGCCACACGAAAGGCAATTACGGCTTATGACTCTCAATGCTCGATGTCGTCTGGCTTGTGGCAAAGGGGTAGAGCACTTGTCACCCCCTGAGTTAGCTCCTATTTGTCCCCCAAAGACCAGCTCAACAGACTGTACCCCAGAACCTGCAACTCAGGCCCAGGCCCTTGAGATGGCTCCTTCAGGCCCCCCACTTCTCCTTCATGCTCCCCGCTCTCATTTGTAGTCAGACATTCGAATACCCCAGTGTGGGGTGGGGGCCAGGGGGCTGCCTCTGCCGTGGCCGCCCGATGTCACAGATGGCCACGTGCTTGGTCTAAGGGGTCTCTGAACGCACGGGGCCCTGATGGGGCTGGGGGCCCGGCGATGCGGGGCAAGGGGCCGAGGCGAGCCTTACTGGTTGAAGCAGTGGGCAGCCGAGAGCAGCCAGCGGTCCCCCACCACGGTGGCCCCGCAGAAGTGCCGCGAGCCTTCCTTCAGGCTGGCCTGCCAGGGCACCTCCCCCGCAGCCGCCCCGAACCCGCCCACGATGCGGGCGGGCTTCTCCAGTGCCGGCCTGGCCCCGCACTCTGAGGGACAAGAGAAGGGAGAAGGGTCTGGGCGCTTTAGGTCAGAGTGAGCACCTGGGCCTAGAGGGACCTTGGGACACGGGGGACACCTCCTGGCTCTGGCTGAGCCGGAGCAAATCACCCCAGTATACAGACGAATAAATGGAAGCTTAAAGGTATCCTAGGGTCCCATTCAATTATGTGGCACAGCCAGGGCACGTAGATTAAACAGAGGAAGATAACTATAGTGTGCCCCGCCCCCCCCAGCCTAAGCCCACCAGACACACCCGTGGCCCCTGAGATCAGGTTTACGGCTGGCTGCAGCGGGGGCCACACCCCGGGACCCTGGGGGCTCACCAAACAAAGGATCAGGTTATCATGGGATCTGGGGACGGGGTGGGAAGCAGGTGACATCTGCGTGAAGCCGAGTTTTGAGGGGCTCAGAGCACTGCAGGTTGTGGCACCATAAGGGAGGATCCGGGTGGTATATGAGGCGTGACTAATTTTATACTAGGTGCGTGTCACCACAATTTACAAAAAAATGAAGTGAAAAACCAGATAAGCTGATTTCACTCTTCCTGTAGAAAAAGCCACACGCAAGCACGTCTAGGACATTTTTGAAAAAACAAGAAGAGAGGTGAGGATTCTCGATCTGAAAACACGCACACGCGCTGCACGTAGTGTGCCTGCCAGGAGGTCCCCGGACACACAACATTAGTCTCCCACCCACCCCCGGTCCCGCAGCCGCGGCCACGAGCCTCTTGGTGACCGTCAGCATGTCTGTGTTGCCCCTCTGCTGGATTTGCCAGCCAGTAAATCTGAAGGACGACTACTGTGTCTGCCTGTGCGCACGACAGACGTCACTAATCGATCACCCGTCTCCGCCCCACGGAGCGCTTTGGGAAGCCAGCACCACCCCATGCGCCCTGCGGCGGGGCACCCGTGCTGCCCATCTCCCCAGGAGATACCTGGCGGCTTAGAGGTGGTCGCTGAATCAACAGGTGCGGAGCTGGGGGCCAGCGAGGCTTGGGTGGGGGTGCCCACCACCTGGCTCTCAGGGCTGGTGGGCCCGGCGGTGCTGGGGGTGGCGGGGCCAGGCACCACCGTGGGGGACAGAGGCTTGCTTGCCGTGGCGATTGCCTCGAGGATCCAGTCCCGCAACTTGGTCACCCGGGCGTAGACCCCCGGCCGCCGGGCTTCCGCACAGCCAATGCCCCAGCTGACGATGCCGGCCAGGAAAAACCTGCCCGACGGCTCCTCGCAGACCAGGGGGCCTCCCGAGTCACCCTGGGAAACGGGGACATGCCCTCAGGGGGAGTCAGGGCCCCTGGGCTCAGCCCCAAATCCCAGAGCTGCAGGGACAGAGAAGGCACCCTGGATGGGCCCGCTCCACGCGGGCTCACGAGAAAATGGGCCGAGAGGTCACACCCCAGAACCTCAGTCCCCTCCCCTGTATGGACGGTCATACCTCGGGACCTTTAAGAGCTCTCTCAGGTCTGCCCCTGGCAGCTAAACACCCAGCCCCGATCGCGCGCCCCCTCCACCCAGTCCCAGCGGGTATCCGGTCCCAGTGGGTCCCAGTGGGTCACCCTCCCTTGGTGAGGGTGACAGTACAGCCGCCCTGCCGGAGCCGCAGACATCTCACTGGTGGCAGCAGACTCCTCCGGACGTGCCTGGCCTGCCCTCGCCCACCCCGACCCATGACGCTCGGCGCTCACGCCCAGCTCACCTGGACTCGCTCTCAGACACAGGCACCTTCTCACCGCTCATGGCCAAGGTTTTGAGCGGGGGGCTGGTTCGGTGGCACCGTGAGCACGGGCAGCGGTCTCTCCCTGCCCGCCCCCACCCGCCCAGGCTTTACAAAGAGCAAAGCGTGTAAACCGAAAGCAAAGAAATCCAGAGCCATGAAGCAGGGGACGTCCTGGACGTAGACCAGAAACTGAGGACGCCCCCTTCTGCTCTGGGAGAGGGTGGCCGCCAGGTGGAAACCCCGGGGGCCCTCCCCAGCAGCCCTGCGGGCGGGGCTCACCTGGCAGGAATCCACCTTGCCGCCCAGGTAGCCGGCACACATCATCCGGTCCGTGAGCGAGTGGCCGTACAGGCTGGCGCACAGCGCCTGGTCCAGCAGCTCCACAGTGGCCTTCTGCAGCATCTCTGGCTTGACCACTGCCAAGGACCGGGGAGACCAGCGGGTGAGTGTTCCAGGGCCCCGGGCGGTCCCCTCGAGCCAGGAGCCTACAGGCCCACACCCCTCTGCGCCTCAGTTGCCCTAGTGGCTAGCAGAGCGGCCGGCTGCAGCAGCGGCCTCACAGACTGGCACACAGTAAGCGCCCCACAAACGCCCACCGAAAGGAACGCTCTCTGCCGGGTCAGCTCGGAGGCGTCCGGGTTCACACCTCGAGGCTGGGCTCCCCGCCTCCCCTCCCCTCCCCTGTCACCGCTGACGCACTGGCCCTGGCGGCTGGAGCCTCTTTTAGCCCAGCAGCCAGTGCCTCTGGGTGAACATTAAGTCACATTATATCATGTTTTTTTTTTCCCCCTCAAACCCTCCCGGGCACTTACCCCTGGCCCAGCCTAAACGCCCAGATCAGGACCGCCTACCCCAGGGCCTTTGCACACGCCGCTCCAGCTGCCCAGCACGCTTGTCCCTTCAGAGCTGCCAGGCTTCCCCCTCCTGACCACCTGCTTAGGGCTGGACCCGCCTCCCACCCCATCCCTTGTTATTTCTCTCCACTGCGTTCGTCATCATCTGTCACCTGTTGAGGATTTTCTGCCCCTAGAATTGCCATGTCCAGTACAGTAGCCACCGGCCACGTGTCGCTATTTAAATATAGATTTAAATGCTTTCTAATGAAATAACATCTAAGATAGGTTCTCGGTCATACCAGCCAGGTCCCACAGGTCCCCGTAGCTTCTGGTTACGCTATAGAGCAGTGGACACATAACCTTGTGTGATGTGTGTCTGCTTAAAGATGCCTTATTTAACATACATTTGTCAAAAGAAATAAAGATAGCTCAGTGCGGTCAGTTTTAAAATCCTCAGGGAGAAGCCCTTCTGTTGGTGACCAGAAAAAGGGTAACAGGCATCGAGAGCACACTCTCTGGAAGGAACCAAAAGGGTGGAGGTGACAGAGGCTCCGTGCATCCCTCTGGCGACCAAGTCAAAGTCGTGATGGAAACAAGGAGCAGCAGCAAGGAAAAATCACCTGGGATCTCGATGAACAAGCCACACAACTAGGGAGAAGTCCAAGACAGCATCCCGCAAGGACAGAAGGCAGGATGGGGCGAGGACGCGGGGCGGACCAGTCCCCGAGCAGCTGAGCGGGACGGAGGCCGCGGCAGCAGCAGACGCCTCTTAAAGGGGCCGCGACCGTGAGCAGATTTTCGCAGTGACAGACCTGCTCGGTCTGAGCACCAGTACCCGTTTGGCCGTGCAGGGGGCACCAGGGACATACAGGGAGACACTGTCGGAGTGGGGGCCCAGGGGAGACTCGCTCTGTCCAGAAGAGCCGGCGGTATCCTTTGTTCCCTGTTGATCCCTCCCCGCTTTCCCCTCCCCACCCCGTCCCAGTGCGTGGACACAGCGCCGCCATAGCTGTGATGTCATCAAACTGGATAACAGAGGTCGCTCCACCCAGAGGAGTCTCCGAAACCCCACCTCCCCCAACTCGCCACCCAAGCCACATAGAGGTGTGTCCTCGGCGAGTCAGGTGCTCCTTGCTGGGCAGCAGCCTAGATTCACATTGGTGGAGGCAGCTGGCCTCGGTTTCCAGTGTGGCCTTTTGAGGCAACTATAAGCATAGCATCAGTGGATTTGGCTTGCTGAATCTTAACAGGTGGCCCCGGAGAGGTAGAGGATTGGGCTAAACGTGGGTTTCCACTGAACCCCTCTCAGGACTGTGCCACTGGACACCTTTGTCACAAAACCTCTCTCACTAATAAGACCGGGAGACTCGGGAGCTTTGCTTAGTACATAGAAACAAACAGACACAGAAAGGCAGCCACGATGGGAAGGCAAAGAAGCAGAAACCATATGAGAAAACAGAACAGAGATCCAGATGTAATGGAATCAAGTCATCTAACAGGTGCAGAGTTCAAAACACTGGTTATAAAGATGCTCAATGAACTTCGGGGATGGGTAGAGAACTCCAACGAAGAGATAAAAAAAAATAAAAATGGAAATGGAAATTATAAAAGGGAACCAGGCTGAAATGAAGAACACATGATCTGAGATGAGAAGTATATTAAATGGAATAAACGAAGGAATAAACAGAGTGAATAAAGAAAAGGATCAAACGCCCAATCTCGAGGACGGGAAAAGTCAAGGACACGCGATCAGAATGGCAAGAGATAAGATGTCAAGACTTTGAAGATAACTTAAGGAGCCTATGCACACAAGGAGAACCTCGACAACATAAAAAAAGACATAGAAACCATAAAAAAGAACCAGACAGAAATGAGGACTACCATAACCGAAATGGAGACTACATTAGAGGATTCGACAGCGGATTGGATGAAGCAGAAGACTGAATCAGCGAATTGGAACACAAGGTAGCAGAAAACGCCCAATCGGAACAACGAAAAAGAATTAAAAAAATAAAAATAAAGATAAACAGGGCCGCTTGAAAATGGAGCCTGAGCTGCCGTGCCAGAGGAACGGCCTTGCACATCTCATGCCTCAAACCCTTGGGGTGTTACAACAGGACAAAGTCACCTTTGCACGAGGCCTGAGCAACCCTGTGTCCCAAAGAACCGTTTGCTAAGATAACAAAGTACACATTATGGCTATGGGACCGATGACTGCAGAATGGAAAATTAAAAACATTGTTTACGATTAGTGTCACTATGTTACGTTTCTGCACCAAAGTTTCGCCTTCCTTCTACGGTGTGATTGTCCCCTTCCCTTCCTCATAAACACCTGCTGCCTCCGGCTCCTAAAGGACACATTACTGGGGCTTCCACCTCGGTCCGCCCCTCTCCACTACCTGTTCTGATCTCAAATGAACGCTCATCGCCTCTCGCTTTTACTTTTAGGTCGAGGTACCGCTGATGCATTCACACTGAAACTAACATGTATTTTTGTCACGAGGGACGCTCGCCAGCGCGTCAGCTCTACGCTGGGGGCCGTTTCAGAGCCACACCCGCTGCAAAAACCCAAGGATACAGAAAACATGGCAGTAAATAGACTGTGAAAAGGACCCTGGTGTGTGGTCTGAGCTGAAACGAGAAGGCAGACGTCGCTTGGTTCCAGCTCCCATGTGTCGCCATGCGAGATTGCTGCGGGCACCCATCTAGGATGCGCACG